AAATGTATCTAGTAAGCCTTGAAACAGCTGATACACATTTTATGGACCTGTTTACGTACATGGTTAATGGTACATGTTTGGCATATCATATTTTTATACACATGGTAGAGAAATAACAACTGATCTGTCATGATCAGGACTATGATGATAGTATAATATAACATACTTATGTCTTTCATACGTTGTGACCATCTATATTATATGAATAAAGTGTCTTTAGTAAGAATGAATGTAAATATGTATATGTAATGTTTTCATGTGGGTGATATAGAGTTTAATTCATATGTTTAGTTAATACATCAACCTTTATTTGATATTCATGTTTAATACACACAAACATATATTACAAAATAATGTTAAGCTATCTACATCAGTAGCAGGGCTTTTTCACTGTGGGTGCTCAGTAGGCACTGGACCTCTTTAGATGTCTTATAAAAGGTTAAATGACAGAGCATGCATTTTATATTTAAACAAGTGTTTATTTTCACAGAAAAGGTCTTCACACATCTGGATAAATTTACCTCCCAGAAAGGGAAGACACTGGAACATAAAACCAGTGTCACAAAACACCACCATATTCAGCTGTACTTTTTCCCTGTTTAACTTAAAAGTAAAGTGTACTATTAAAGAGTGTCAAAAATCATAGAATCAGATATTAGGACTACTGCTAAGGCTTTGAAAATGTGAAGGCCATTTATCAATACTGGTTGCAAGACGACAACTTCACGGACTTTTGACAATATATTCTCACTTGATGGTCTAATTAAATTATGTCCTTTTTTTGTCACAGAATCAAGACAACATATGCCTGAGCTAATGACTTATCTCATTGAAACAATGTTGAGCGAGCGTGCACTCAGCCACATAAACAGGTACCAAAAATCAGCAATTTGCTTTAGAACAGTCCAATAAACTACTGAAAGGGGATATGTTTGAAAAACTTTGCTGACACCTATGAAAGAACAAGAGAATCACCATAAACCTTTGCGGCTTTCTATAGGACTCTCTGTGACTAGGGGGGCATGTGAAATGTACTGCATTCACCAAAGGAACATCAAAGCCTAGAACTGCATTGGGATAAGCTTTGCGTCCATCAAAAAAAAAAAACAAAGTTCCCAGGCATACCAGTTACAAATGCAGGAGGTTCTCGTGCAGTCCAAAAAAAAATAAGATCTCTACGTTTCTACCTTATCCTTGAAGACATGCTATACCAGCCCCAAGACTAACAAACATACAGTAAACTAGGCTTAAACACAGTTTAAGATGCAATGATTTAAGACAAGAGGGACTCACCTTTCAACTTTTAGTGTGTTCTTGTTGGATGTGTAGCATGAATTTTGATTGGTTTTGATGGGACATGGCATTAGTAGTGAGGCTGATTTTTATAGGGGTGGAGTTTTTTCTTTTTTTTTTTTGCAAAACTCTAAAATAAAGAATGTGAACTCTTTCCTGGGGCTGATTGGGGGGAAGGATGTGAAAAGACTGCAGTTATAAAGCACTGCTTGAAGCAGTCTCTCAATGCGTCTCTGAACTTGATCAGATTTTATGTTTCCTGCAGAGAGACAGCGACAATCCTGTGAAAGTGGCTCAATAGACAGACTTTTGGGCTCAGCAAATCTCAGGATATTACAATTACGGCCATCTTTCTCTCTCTCTCTTTTATTCTCAATCTTACTCCCTATAGTTCTTTGCAAATGCTTTCCCATACAGAAAAGGACGGAATTTATAGAGCTGTCTAAAGCTTATAATCATTGCTAGACAAATGCTGTATTTTTAAAAAAACCTTTTCTCTGTGTCTTAGTGCTGGTTATATGATGAAGGTATTGTGTGATCATATGCATTTTTCCCTCATAAAACTCTGTGAAGTTTTAAAATCCTTCCTAGCTCAGAAAACAAACACAACAGGGATCCTCGCATTCTTCTTTGTCTTCAGCAGGCAGTTAACTCTTTACTCTTTTTTTGTCACTAGGGAAAAATTAGGAGTCATGAACAGCAAATCAAACCAAGTCTTCTGCTGTGCATGCCTTAAAAAAATTAATTAAAATGGATGAAAAATAGCTTTGCAGGTCTGTAAAATATTATTATGGCATCAGTTAATTTTAGGTCAAAATACAATACCATATAATATGAATAAGCAACTTCCACTTAGCACTCCAGCTGTAAATGAGACTTTAAAACAACAGGACAGCTAAAACACAAGCTACACACAAAGCACAGATTATGTGAAACCTACAGTACAGGAAAAACAGAACCATGAAAAAAAAATAAAACCCAAGATATAGGATATCATGTGCATCCCTTTCATTTGACTGCTCCTAAAACGATCTGTTATTTTTTAGTGAATGGTACAGAGTGTCTTAAACAGGATGACAAAAAGATAACTGTTTACAGACTGATCACAGGTTTGTGATGTTTTGGAAGGTGGTTAGCAAAATCCATAAATTAGGGATCTTGCAGACAAATATTTGGGCTTTTCTTAATCTATTAACACATACAGTGCTTGAGAAGCCTGCCACATACATCTTTTCTAAATACATAAAAATATCACTTGCAGCAGCAAGAGGGTTAAGCTTACCTGCAAATACTAAACCTGAGCAGACCAATCAGGGCACAGATATTAGTGAAGCTGCCATATTCAATGCTAAACTCTGTCAATCAAGAGTTCACAGGCAAATGGGTGCCTGGGGCTGGGCTCGCATGACACTCCCCCAGCTGAGTTTCTATTGGTGCAATTCAGACTGCCTCCTGAGTTGGTTTATGTGTGAGGAGTGAGTGATTGACTTTATCAGTCCAAGGACATTACTCTGTTGGAGAGGGTGAACTGTTTCCTGGATTTCTACAAGCAAAAGGAATAAAAGCAAAACTTATTTTTTTTTCTTATCAGTGCTTCTGCATGAACTGCATTTTGTGTTGACCATTCAGAAAGTCTGCATTGCTCAGGCTTATTGATGACGATGCTTCTAGATGGAGGACCTCAATTTCCCACCCTGGGAGTTGGAGGGTTTGGGACATCTCGCCATCATGAAATGTCCAACCGAGATGCTGGCATGGGGCTTAATCCATTTGCTGAACCTCCACATGCTGCGGCTTTCAAGCTCAGTCCAGCCAGTCATGATCTTTCCTCAAGCCAGAGCTCAGCTTTTACCCCGCAGGCATCTGGATATGCCAATGCGCTCGGGCACCATGCTGGGCAGGTGCCATCTTATGGAGGTGCTGCTTTTAACTCTACTAGAGATTTTCTTTTTAGAAATCGGAATTCTGGAATTGGAGATGCTGCCTCACCAGGGGGTCAGCATGGACTTTTTGCCAGCCACGGACCCCCTGGAATCACCGATACCCCAGGACACCTGATATTTCCTGGACTCCATGAACAAAGCTCCAGCCACACTTCACCCAATGGACATGTGGTAAATGGACAAATGCATTTAGGTCTTAGAGGAGACATTTTTGGACGTCCAGATCCTTACAGAACTGTGCCCAGTCCCAGGACAGATCATTACGCTGCTGCCCAGTTCCACAACTACAACCACATGAATATGGGCATGAATGTGGCAGCTCATCATGGCCCAGGGGCATTTTTTAGATATATGAGGCAACCTATCAAACAAGAATTATCATGTAAGTGGCTAGAGGAATCACCAATGAACCGACCGCAGAAAAGCTGCGACAGGACATTCAGCAGCATGCATGAGCTGGTTACACATATGACAATGGAACATGTTGGGGGACCAGAACAAAATAATCACATTTGCTACTGGGAGGAATGTCCTAGGGGAGGAAAATCCTTTAAAGCAAAGTACAAACTGGTTAATCACATAAGGGTTCACACTGGAGAAAAACCTTTTCCATGTCCCTTTCCTGGATGTGGGAAAATCTTTGCACGATCAGAAAATCTAAAGATCCACAAGAGAACTCATACAGGTAAGGGATTGAGTGGATTGAATTGGATTGTGTGTGTCTGTATATATATATATATATGTATATATATAAATTAACACTTTTTGTTATCAATTTCTCTTTTAGATGTTTTTGCGTTAGGCCTGTATCTGTGTAGCAGTGTAACAATATAATTTTTACACTGAAACTGATACTTTTTTTTCTTACTATTATTTAAATATGTAGGTCTGCTGTTAGAACTCAAACCATGACAATAAACAAAACAGAGTTGATTAGTTTAAGGCAATATTATTAGCATTTTCTTCCTTCTTTGTTGTCTTGTCTCTTGAATGCAATGAACAAATAAGAGTTTGTTGAGTGATGATTCACTTCCAAAGCAGTTTGGTTCCTTGCATACTGTTAAGTAAACTATAGAAATGCTAATTAAATCTCATTTTCACTCACTTCCGCTCTTTTTTTACTCATGATTGGCACATCTCCTAATTAAAGCAGTGATACTTTTGTCAAAGTATTTTTATTTGGAATCCTGTGTTTAATTAAACTCTTTGCAAGCAAAGTGAGTTTAGGAAGGGCAGGATAACATTCATTGCTGCCCTCGTATAACACGTCTGGAAGAAAATACTTGCCTGGACTTTTTAAACTGATTTAATTTTCTAATAGACATTGTGGTACGACTGGAAACTGTGTGTACAGTATTCTTAAAACTTTCTGCTTAAACTACTATTATATATGAATCAAAATCAAATTGAATATATCTGAAAGATGGCAATTTAGCTGTATTGTATAGGACTTGTAAAGGTATTCCTTTGCATCCTATTAAACATCAGCTTGGCTTTGGTAAATATTTCAATATGATATGCAGATAGCGTATGGGAATATTTAGCAAGGAAATTGTCCAGTCTGGGCCAGCAATGTGAATTTCATTAAGAGGAATCCAAAGGGGCAAAACTGTAAAATGTAGACCAGCGATGACTGGAATTATATTCTGCAGCTCCAGCTACATAACATTCACTATATCCTTCCATCAGGTGAGAAGCCCTTCAAGTGTGAGTTTGAAGGATGCGATCGACGGTTTGCAAACAGCAGTGACAGGAAAAAGCATATGCATGTGCATACATCAGACAAACCATACATCTGCAAAGTGTGTGATAAGTCCTACACACATCCCAGCTCTCTAAGGAAACACATGAAGGTATTATAATTATTATTACTTTTATTATTATGATATGCTCTTACTATCAATTTATTTTGTGGTGGTTGTTTTGATTGGTAATATTTTATAAGAAAATAAGCATTTGGCAAATTATACATATGAAAAAAAAATAGCATGCATAGTTATATTTTGCTTACGTTATAAATATTTTGGTGATAAGTATTTTATATATGCTGCATATTTGTTTTTGCCAAAGATAGATATTCCAGGTGTTTGTAAGATATTTATAATATAATATGCTTTGATATTTTATGATAAGACTTTTACAACATACAGTAATTAATATCTAAAACATAAAACAATATGAGGAACAAATCTCCTCATTACAGATGACAACACTAAACATTGTTATAATTTTCAGAATAGTCAATTTGATAGAAACACAACAGTGCTGGTCTCAAATTGATCCTAAGGCCTTACTGTGTATACATTTGTGTGATAATTTTTTTTAAGCTTCAACATTTTGACACCTTTAAAGGAATTATAAGTGTAATTATTTTTGTTTCTTGTTTCTCTTTAGGTACACGAATCTCAAGGGTCTGATTCATCGCCAGCTGCCAGCTCAGGTTATGAATCTGCCACCCCACCAGCAATGGTATCTGTCAGTAGTGAGGAAACTTCTAAAACTACTTCAGCAGTAATTCAGACTAACAGCAACACTCACAATCCAGGATTACTTCCACCTAATTTTAATGAGTGGTACGTCTGAAACATTTTTTTACAAAGGCACAATCATGCTCAATAAAAGGACCAAATCAAATCTAGCGACCAAGCTGGTTGTTGTTCCAGGATGGAGATGACGTTTATGACACAAACAACAGTATAGGGCTTTGTTTTGTAATCTGAATTTACCCTGGAAGTTTTGTTTTATTCCTAAAGAAGGCTGTGGACTAATTTTGTCCTATTCTCAGGATCTGAAAACATATTTTGGCATTTACATTCCTTATCTCTTACTTTTCTTTCATTTTAACATTACATTTTTATTTTCGTAAACAAACTATAGAAAGGTTTTTAAATGGTGTATTTAACAGATAAAAGAAAATCTTTACACCTTTATGGTGATTGTTAAAATCTCACATTCTTAAACAGTGCCAAAGTCTTGTTATGTCTTGAACTTTCTCAAAGCATTACACTTGTGAATGTATTCCTTGTCTGATAGGGTCAAAGCTGTTGTTGGGTATATTTTCAGGATGGGACTTGTGTTCATTCACAGATTGTGACCAGTTAGTATACAGTTGCCTTTTGTAAGAACTTTTGTAAATATATCCATGATGCCATATTTATCGTTTGTAATTTAATTATTGATACAAGTGCCGGGAACTGAACAATATTTATGAAAAAAAGTTTTCTAACAAAACTCTGTATAGCTTTTGGTTATAACTGCTTTAGCATTAAAATTTATTGTTTTAAGAAAAAAAAATCAGGTTTTAATTTTTCTAGCAATTTGTTTTTAATGTTTAAGATTGTTGTGAAAAAAACTTACTTTATGATGCTTCTTTAAAAATGACTGTCATGGTGTCTTTGAGCTTTTTAGGTAATGCAGGTAGATATCAAAGACATGTCAGACTAACTAATATTTTTTTAGGTAGATGTAATAAATGTACCCTTTACAATCATTCAGGCAAATCAAAGATTTCTAATCAATTCAGTTGGGTACTATGACATCTCTATCTGATGCATCAAAGAACAAATAAGTGCATGCTGTCATGCTCTAGAACAAAATACTGTGAATGTGATAGGTTCAGCATTTGTTTTTCAAACAAAATACTCTGTACCTTGCCTGTATAAGAATACCAAATGTATAGTCATATGCCATGTACATTGGAGGCCCTAACCACTGCAAGTATATATATATATA